ATAATCTGATGTGCTAAGACTTTCTATTTCAATTGATAGAAGTTTTGCACTTGTTCCATGAAGTTACCTGTATTGAGTGGCATTCTTTATCTTAAAACAGCTTGATGTTGACATCGCAACTCGCATTCAAGTGAAGGAAGATGGACCGAAGCGGAGGTATGCATATTCATCAGATCATCTTTGAATAGCGAAATACTAGATTCCCTGGATTTTTGTTAAATTACACATCATTGTATTCAAGAGAGGTGATTAATAGATCGCTTATGCAAATTTATCCTGCTTTGGACCAGCTTGCTTTATGTAGAGACAGCAGATCGACCTGGATTACTTGTAGACATCATCAAAAATCTTGCTGACATTAATATCAATGTGGAATCGGCAGAGATTGATACAGAAGTATGATAGATTAGCCTGTTTCTCATCTCGCTTCTGTTTGCAGATCTTCGCATATTCAATTGTTTGTATACTATGGTCGCACTTAAAAGGAGTTCTCATCTTACAGGGGTTGGTGGCTAAAGATAAATTTTACGTGAGCTATGGAGGAGCAGCACTGAATAGCTCATTGTCTCAGGTAATTGGTGAAGTCTTAAAAAATCTTGCTTTCATAGCATCTCATAAGACTGTATGTTCACATATTCTGTTGGACTTATGTCAAATGTAGTGATTTGGGTTGAATAATTGGTTGTTAAATTCCTATTCCGGATTGTAGGATCCTTATATCGTATGAGTTAAGAATAATATAACACAATGATTTGAAAGTGCTTATTCAGTAATCTCCTATTCAAGAGTACAGAAAGAAGCTAATTTATAGGGCATAGAAACCAACACGCAGCTACTAAATTATTATTCTCCTACTTAATTCAACCAACACCCGAACCAACTACACAATAAATTCTCCAACGTGCCCCCCTCAAACTCAATCTGGTGGATGAGAGCACACCAGTTAAGTAAAAATAATATCTTACGATGCTATTTATCAAATCTTGAAAACCAGAAAGCAGCTACGGTTGTGGATCTGAAACCTAACCAAGAGTCTATATCTAAAGAAGGATCTTTATAGGTTCCTATCTTAATTGATGAAAACGTGGGATTGATTCTACTGATCCGAGGGGCTAAATTAATATAATTATCGTATAGATTAAAATTTAAAAATTTTCTTTTGAAATGTTATGTTCCTGAACTAAAATACACGGACCTTACTGATATTCTAGTTCTAGAAATGATGTGGGTCTTTAAATTGCTCACGAGTTTTAAATCTTATTGAAACCATTATTCAATTACAAGCAATTATGTTTGTATACCATGTAGGATCAAAATGTTTGTCTATGAAGTCTGTTATTTGAACTCACAGGGTTTACTTGCGTTATCATTTGAAATTGCAGGTGCTAGTAAATTGCTTGCGATACTACCTTCGAAGGCCAGAAACGGATATTGATAGTTACTAACAATTGGACCAAGAAACTGTGATGTAAACACAATGTAACCATTCTTCCAGTATAAACTCTGTTGTCTTGGCTCAACAAATATACATTTCCATCAGTGTCGAGTTCAATCTGGATCTTTGGAAGAGACATGGAAAACTTTTCCACCAGGAACCTATGAAGGAGAAAGCATTAGATAGAATTGTGGTGTCAAATTCTAAAGCACCATTTGTGCTCCATAGAGTGGCTGCCGTATTCTCCTGGTGCATTCTCTCTCCCAGGAGGTAATTGATCCCCATCTATCTTGTGTGATTCTAGTTCTTTCAGCTTGAAAAGGACGAATATCAAATTGCTTGGTTGTCACTACTTCACTTCTTATGCTTTTGACGTCTCTCCCACATTTGATTGGAATTCCCACATCTACCAAAATAATATCTACTTGCACATTGTTGATTTTCTTCACATATTATCTTCTTGAAGCACAATGACTGGCTGCTGTCACCGAAATTTGACCTTATTGTTTATGATCCAGTCAATGGATGCAATGACCAGCACCATAAACAGGTGAATCGATAATATCTTGAAATTCTTCTCATCGTTAGATTAAGGGTCAATATCACGAAAAACTCCAAATTTGTATATTTGTGACATTTGTTTAAAACTAATTTTGATCACGAAAAATTTCAAACTGATACTCATGTGATAATTTTACCCCAAATTAATATTTTGACCACTGAAAATCCCAAACTGGTACATTTGTGATAAATTTATCATACAGTAAATTGAATTATGCCACGAAAAAACACAAATTAGCACACCCGTGAGGCTATGACAAACATAAGGGTATAATCCTAACTGGTACGCCCGTCAACTGACACGTGTCATATAATTCAAGAAATTTGATGGTAAAATCTAACGGAAACTAACTCGGGGTAAAATCATCACAAATGTATCAAGTGTACTAGTTTGGGATTTTTCGCGGTATTAACCTTTAGATTAATAAGATAGTGACTTGGAAAAAAATCACCTGACTTATATATACTCGTTCTATCTATCACATTTCTTAGAAGTGTTTTGTCTACTGATATTTACGGGTGGATGAAACTGTGTACATCTTTTGCTAAGTGCGATGACCTCCTGGCCAGATGAACGTTATAATGTAAGCAAGATTTGTGGCCAGTGACTGCATATAAGCAATCATACCTGCTACCAGCGTTGCCTTATCTAATGACCATTTGTTTGATTTCAAAACTCACTATTCTATTCCGAAAAGGGTACGCGCTAGGCAGATGCTAGAGTCATCTGTATTTGTTTTTCTTCATAGTGGACTCCAGCATAATTTGCAGTGTAGCTCAATCCGTGTGACGAGTGGTTGACAGATTAAGACGAAACGACATCGATGAGAATGTACTTTGTTAGTAGGAGTTGGAGAGCTATACAAATGACAGAGTAGCATTCATCATCTTGCCTTTTTATATACACTTCAAGCATCAAATAAATGGTTTAAGTCGAGAACACTTCGATGTATTGTATGAAGTGGCCACAGAAAAGCAGCCAAAAGTGGGCCTGAGCCGCTGTCGGTGCCATGTTCGAGCGAACTACTACCTTATTTTCAAAGGGAAGAGATCTTTTTTTGAAAGGAAAAAGACAGAATCACCCGGAAACAACCCGCCGTGCCTTGTCCTGATGTGGAAAATCCTCAAACGTGCACTTCGTATGTCTCGATTCTTGTGGAGAAAAAGCATATAACTAGTTCTAAAAGAAAAGACTCGAATCCCCCTAGCTTATGGCAATTCTTGCTTCTCCCCTAAAGAGGTGCAAACAGATTGTCCCCCAAATTTAAGATTTTGTTCTTGGCATTCCTTCGTATCCATCTCATAATGGGTTCTGACCCTGATCCTACCCAAGACTTCTGTATACCCGACAGAGAAGAATCCACGGCCGCCACCCAACGCAAGAACTCGTCGCTAGCCACGGTAGAAGACTTCGTGTTTTCCGGGATAAAGTTCCCTGGAAAGTTCAGCCAAACAGGATAATCGGCCACGTCAGTGAATGCAAACATCTTCCCGGGGCTAAACACGCTGTGTATGTCCTTTGTAAGAGCGGATTTTGATGTAGATGGGATTAACGTCCCGCATCTTCATCCGAGAGCGACCAAGGTGGCTTTCGTGTTGTAGGGAAGGGTTTATTCAGGATTTGTCGACACCCAGAACAAGGTTTTTGCCAGGGTTCTAGACAAAGGTGAAGTGATGGTTTTCCCTAGAGGTCTAGTCCACTTCCAAATGAACGTGGGAGATAAGCCTGCCACTATTCTGGGGAGCTTCAACAGCCAAAACCCTGGACTGCTGAGAGTTCCATCCGCCATTTTCGGGTCTGGGATTAGGGACGATCTCTTGGAGAAGGCTTTCGGGTTGAGCTCCAAGGACATGGCTAAATTGAAGAGAAGGTTCGCTCCACCTACATAGGATCGGGGCTGTGCCTTTCTCCAAACTTCGTATAAGAATTTAAGATTATGATGACTATATGTTTTCTACTCATATCGGTCAATCGGACCATAGTATTATCTATCTAATAAACTGAAGTGATCGAATCGAGGGTTCCGAACATGAAAATTCGTCGCTCGTTCTTGGATTTACCCATTTCCCTTCACGTCCTCCACTCAATATGGAACTAACGCAATCACCAGTACAGATCGATGGCCTGTTCACCACCCTTAATGACTTTTTAACTTTTTCTTCTTTAAGACTTTTTCTTCCGGTTGGTATGGTTAAAGATGAGGCAACATGATTGAGTAGGGGGAAAAAAGGCCCGAGTGTAACTCAATTTGTTACTCCGAATGTGAAGGGGCCTGTACTAAAAAAGCCATCATATCTGCTCCTATCAAAGCCATCGTGTCGCCTTTACTAAATTGAAAAGGCAAACCTTCGCACGCGTCTCTCGCGTCCCTTGATTCCCGGTCTCACCTGTGAGAAAATATGATGTGCATTATGACAAGAACATGGATCACTATTAGTGAGTGATCTCTTCTGCTTCGTTGGTTATGTTCCTTCTGATCTCTAGTGGTCAAAGTTAGTCACCTTGAAAGTGGGGATCCTATGCCCTAAAGCATTTTCCCATGGACATCTCTCTCTCTTTCTCTCATGCACATTGCGAAAGTAATAGCTTCAATTCAAACTACTTTCCTAAGATGATCACCTAATCCCTAATTTGTGCTTCTTTTATGATTCATCCATAGAGGAGTGGTTGGCTTCTTCCTACAATTCTGATGAATTACAACCAAATGCTAGATGACAGTTTTCAAACTTGGAGAGAGATTTCGATATCTCGTGTATGACGATGGTGGAGACTTGTCTGCGTAATTCTAGCATACCCGACTTTTTTAATTGGATTGAGGTCATATTCAAGGACTGACCAAGTATTCACGCCCCGGGCCCCTGTAGTTTAATCTTATGAGACCTGATGCCATTCAAATACTAAGTTAGAGAAGCTTGGTCAGATCTAGATTTCGACATGGCCTATGACACTCCTCACCTGACATGTGCAACTGGGCACGAATATCTGCTTGTAAGATGATGAGCATGACAAAGCAGACGCAGAGCAGCAATCGCATAACAAACCCGATAAAACCGTCAACGATGAACATCGCATACAAATTTACAAAGACGAAACACAAAGAAACGCGCCATCATCTGTAGAAGCAGTTCTTCTACAAACCTGAAAACTAGTTCCTACTCAAATCCTTGCACTAGATTTCCAATGCTTAGAGCAAAGCATTCAGCATCTCGTTCCAAGTATCGGGCACTCCTGGGAGGCACCAGTGGCTGCAATCAGACGAGAAGCCTCTCGGGTTCTGCCTCTCCTGCTGGTTCATCTCTCTTCTGTACACCGAGGGATGCCCGTCTCTCCTCAGTGCAGACATTGCCGTTATGTCCTGCAAATACACAGGGAATCTCATCTTCCTCACCACTTGCTGTAGCACGACCAGCTGCTCAGGGACATGCCGGTGGCTGAAGTATGCCAGAGGTTGCTTCTGGTTGTAGCATTTCCACCCATTTTCCCTAGCCACACAAGGAGACAAGTCAAAATGATGTTCTCATTATAAAGAAAATGGTAATATTACATTGTACCCTAGATATACTGCATTGTAAGGTCACGCAATGCTTTTATAACAAAATCTAAACTCTGCCTCTCTCTGTCTACAAAAGGCAATTCCCCCTCGTCTTCTTTGATGGCAGATTCAGGACAGAGCTCTACTACTATGAACTAGGATACGAATAAACAGATAGGTTTCTTTTTTGGAGTCTTCAATTAGGTGATTTTAAAGTTTAAAAGCAAGTGCGAGTACCTGTTGTGCCTGGGTGACATGCTTCTGAAAATGACTCTGGTTCTCTGAGGATTCAGATTCAAGTCCACCCATTTGGCCCATGTAGTGAGTCCTTTCTCATAAGCCACCATTGGATTCAAGTTCCTGAACATGGATCTTCCCTCCATGTAGTAATCCCACCTGAATTTTGGATGGTTCCACATTCTAAAATCAGCAGGATGAAATTTTTTGGCTCTATAAATGTCACATTGGCAACAAAATGATGCTTCTGATATGGTCGTCAAGAAAGAGGAATGAATTTGCTTTTCATTCTTCGGAAGATTAAAACAGAAACAGGGTAAGAGGAAGGTATTCATCTTACGAACTCCATTTGTCTGAGTGAGTCCACCAGTGAGCAGAATCAAACACAAGGACGTCAACTCCCCTCCAATACTTGGCATTCTCTTCAATCAAATCCAAGTGCAAGATTCTCTTGTTTTGAGGTCCTTGGGTCAGTTCCACCAGCAGCGGAGCCCAGGAAAATTCTATCGACACCTCAAAATCCTGCCAAAAATTTCCTTAATTACGCGCATTAAGAAAAAAGTCAATTGGCATCGAGTTTTCTAAGCATCGATAGATCAATAAAAGTTATAAAGCACATAATGTTCAAGTAACAAATTTGAGCTTCTTTAGATGAGTTGGTACGTGGTCCTTCTGACTTGATGATTTTTCCACGATAGCTTTCACTCTTTTATGTAAGATTGACTGCGTGCACTAATATTATCACAAAAAGAAGTTTGGAAAGCGGGTAAAATTCAACTTCTCAATGTTAAGGTCTCTCACCATTGCATGAAAAGCCATGGAAGGTCCATTGTACGATACTGTTTTCCGGCCAGTTGGAATCACGCCTTGCACTAAGCACACAAGTGACTCCCACTGATTCCTCATTATAGAATCGCCTACCAGCATTATTCTCTTCTTTCTCATCTTTGCCAGAAATTTCAGCGCATCAAACCTGAAAGACAATACACTTAAGGACTATAAAGGCCTTCATATCATTCAGGCGAAGCAAGAACAAAGTGATAATATTCCCTAGTTTTTGTTCTTCTTTTATCAGAAAGAGAAGAGGTATGGAAAATGGATCTTTTAAGTCTTCAAAAGTATCAGAACCATCCTCGTTTGTCTTACATACATAGTGATCATCCAAATTTTCTTGCATCCGCCTCTAGTTATATCATTTAAGAATTACCAATTCAGTCTTGGCCCAAATTAAAGTAGAATGTTGGAAATTTTGATGATGCTAATGATACCTTGGCAGTGAGCATGCCTGGGGCTTCCACCTCCACTTCTGGTAATCCGAATCGGGTCGTCCGTTTCTCTGGCAAGTCACGGCGGTGCTGAGGTAAGGGCAGTTGGAATCGTAGAGAGGGTACGACTCGTCCACCACCCACTTCCCGGTCGACATGTCGCAGCTCTGCTTCGGAGCATCATGCCTCGTCTGGACCATGTCCACTCCATCTTCTTCGTCCGGCCAAGAGCTGTCTTCTTCCTCCACTAGGTCGTTTATGAAGTGCGTGGACTCGCAGTGCTCCAAGTGGACGAGACGGGCAACGCAGAAGAAGAGGAGGATCGAGAAGAACTTGGGTCTCATCAGTTCGGCCATTGGACAGCGCTTGGAGAGCTGAAGGGTCCCCATGGAAGGAGTAAGCGAAGAGGAACGTTCACTTAAAAGGAAGCTGACTGCAATATTTTCCATCAAGGCATGACTTGCGGTCTTGTAAGGTCCCACATCTCTCTCTCTCTCTCTCTCTCTCTCTCTCTCTCTCTCTCTCTCTCTCTCTTTCTCTCTCTCTCTCTCATGATGGCCATGATTTCTTATGATGGTGATCTCCAGCACTGTGCAGTGTCGACTGTGATCATCGTTTGCTTTAGTAGTGGAATCATGTGGGCCATCTAAAGATGTAACTCCTTCAAAAGGGAGACGAAGGAGGATGAATAAACAAGGCTTGTACGTCGACCAACGTTGTTTCTCAAAGATCAACACCTGCTCCTAGCTTTTTCTCCGTGAATCAACTGTAGAGCACTCGATGCATAAGATGCTCCTCTCTTCGTAAAGAAGTTGGTGCGGTTGAAAGGTGAAATGGAAGCGGTTGCAAGGTGAGAAAAAAGCAACAATGACAATCTCGCCCCGTAGATTGCGGACGTGGGGACTTCGCTTTGACGAGGAAAGGAGCACTTGCTTTGAAATATGGTCTCTCGACCTAAAATCAAGCCACAAATCCTTGAGGTTGCACCAACCGAAACACAAACGTATTTCCAGAGTTTGCAACATAAGCCAGTTGCCAAATTTTCTGGTACAAAGGAACACAACATCTGTGACCTTCCTTTGATCACTTCATCTGCCAAGGTCGGCCTGTGAATGAAATTCCGGTCGAAGATACAATCTTGATGCCATCGGGGTCCCAATGAACTTCACTCCACCAATGTGTATCGCCTCTAGAGTTGCCATTCATGGTCCTGAATGGCAACTTCTCGAGTGAACGACATCGCGTGACTTTGAGCTGCTTGAGACTCTGCTAAGACTCTTTTCTCTTGCCACAGCACTGTGATTGCGACACACTGTTAGGATGCATGTGTAAATTGGATTAGAGAACTTCCGCATCGAAGAATTGATATGGTGTGGAGCAATTAATATATCATAATTGGCCCATAACTTATTGTTTTAAGCTTTTGAGTAAAGGACATTGATGGGCTCGGACTTTGGCTTTCTCTTAGCGATCTCCTGGGTGAAGATTTGTTAGCGTTGATAATTTCTCATTTTACCGTTAGGGTATGTTTGTTAATTATTTGCGTGAACAATGAAAAAAAATTTCATTCATTTATTTTTGTAAACAATACAAGATATTATTTTTAAAATTATGTTTTTTAAATCATTCATTTTCTGCGAAACAAATGCACCATTTGCATCTTTGATAGTCAAAAGCAATCCACTCTTATTATGGTGAGATTATCTAAAATCTCGTGAAGATTGTTACTCTGATTCGAAGGCATATCGATGTTCTACTTCGACAGAAGGAGAATAAGGTATTAGACGGGAAATGTGCCTAAGGCTCAAAGGATCTTTGTCCAAGGTGAACAATATTGTAGAACATGAGGACGTTATTATGCATGGAAGGACCATTGTGTAGAAGGTGAACAGACGATTCAACTAGAAACGTGAAAAATCTGGAAGAATCCTTTGCAAAAGCAGCTCCTTCTAGGTATAGATAGTTAACACACATGCCTCTACAATTCTAGAAAACAGACCTAGCCTAGTTATTAATTTGATTTTAATTCAAATCGATGTGTAACAACTATTTACAAGCCTTGGAATCCACAGAAAGCAGCTTGAAGAATGTCAAAAAATTGCCATAATTCATATCAAAGTGTCAGACAAACTGCAGAAGTAGAGGCCTCTTTTTCTAGAAATGCCCAGCTTGAGAGTCTGGTTGTGCAGAACGCAGGTTTGATGGTCAAGAAAGACAAACCAATGGCTCCTTTGACTCTAAGATAGCTTCTAAAGGATACTTTGAAAATTGGAAATCTGTTTAAACAAATCAAAGATGATTGTGAAGATTAACGGAAAACACTCCTATTCTCTCTCTGTTGCATCCAGTTTTCTAGCTTTCACTTGTGCAAAATTAAGTGTTTTCTGATTTTAATTCTGTTGAGGGTTGAATATTTGTAATTTGGAAAGACGGGGGTTTGTAGTGTTGTGAAAGGTACTTGTGCTTGTAGAATCATCCACTGAGTTTTGTGCAGAGGCAACAATCTCTACAAACGGTAAAATTTCGAGAATTATAAAATGGATCCTAACCTTGTATGTCACTGTATGAGCTGAAAGAACGGAGTAGATCAACTGGAATACTGAACCCCTATAAATTTGTCAACTAAGGAGGGTGGTCCACAAGCTTGCCCAGGCCCACTCATAAAACGGGCTGGCTTGGCCGGATTTTTTAGGCCAATTGGATGACTCTAGTCAGTGGACGAGCCTGGTCCGCCCATATGCTTATTTTAAAAAAATACACAATTATGTTCTATTAATAATTCAACCTTGATATATACAATTAATGGACAATAATAGGATAAAATGAGCCAAAATTTCCAATATATTACGGAGAAATAGTATAAAACTCATGGATGAAGTAGCTAATAAAACGATTTATTCATTGTTTAAGCTGAAATTCCAAAAACCAAATATAAAAAGGTAGCCTAGTAGGTGGGCGAGACGCGCCCATGTTCTTCACTTGGCGGGCTTGGACACATGCCCGGGCCCAAAAGTTTGGTCCTGGGCTGTGCCTCCAAAGGTACGAGCTCGAGCAGGCCCTGCCTCGGCCCGCCCAATGAACAGGTCGAGCCCTAGCTAAGCTGGAGGTGTTAGTCCTAAGCGATGGAATGACCTTTGGTGAGGGAATAGAGTTCGGATTAAAAAACGAATTGGATTAGACTATAATTCGATCCGATTAGTTCGCTTTAAGAATCATATCGGGTTTAGTTCGATTTCGAGGTTTTCTGAAATGCTATTTTTCTTAACAATCTTGAGGAGAAACTGTATCGTTTTATCTCAAAAGAGTGCTAGGAAGTCCCCGTGCCTTGCTGTAGAGAAGTCCAAAACAAGAATGAGTCGGAGGATTCGAACTCATACCACATGAGCAGATTCAAAATGGCCCGTCAACTACACTGCCAATTTCATGTCTAAATCGAATCGAAATTGAACCATCGCACTACTGTTGTGGTGCTGAAAACTCAGTACATGCCGTGTACTAGGATATGTTTGATGAAGAACACCTCGACCCCAGCATTTGCTCAGAAAGGTTAGTACGTACCGCCGTGAGATGTAACTTGCTTGATATAAAAGAAATCATTCTCTATCCAAAAAAAAAAAAAAAAAAAAGAGAGAAGAAATCATCCAATTTTCCATTTACAGTATTCAAAATGGTTAAATACTGTTTGAAGTAAAAAAAAAAAAACCACTTACTTTTTCCATAACTGCAAACTAAAAGTAAAAAAGATATCTCATTTTAGACAAAAACACGAGTGGATGCTAAAATGAGAACATGCTTCTTACCAAATGAAAAAACGGAACAACAAATTATATTTAAAACTTTTGTTAACGCTGAAAATTTTCATTTTCTACCACCAATCACTTTATAAAATTTATAAAATACTGTATTAGGATATTAAATATTAAATCACGTTTTCATTTAACAATTTAAGTTTTTAGAAAAGTTGGCGGTTCTGGAAATTAAAAACAAAAAAAAATTATTCAAAAGGGGATAATTGTCCAAAAAGCCCTACACCTATTGTATGGTAGCTAATTCAGTTTTTAACTTTTCAATTTGGCTGATCTAGTCCCAAACATTTTGGTGATTTACCAATGTAGTCATTCAAATCGCTGACGTGGATATTGACTGACTTACATGATATAGCTAGCGCTGTGACATGAACGATTTTTGCAAATATTTTTTAAACTTTTCTTATTTTTCCTATCCTTTTCTTTTTGTTTTCTTATTTTCCTATTTCCCTTCGTTGGTTGCCGGGCCTCAGCGATGGCCAATGTAGGTTATAAGCCACAGGAGGGGGTGTCGCAGCCCTTGCCTGTGGTTAGTGACTTACGCGAACGATCATTGAAGCATCAGCGATAGAAGAAGGGAAATAGGAAAATAAGAAAAAAAGGAAAAAAATTCAGAAAATAAAAAAAGAGCAAAAATTGTCCACATCAACACTGAATGACTGGCATTAACAAGGCTGCCACGTTAGCAATTTTCGGTCAAAATTAGATGGAAGGGCTATATTGAAAAATCGCTGAAAGGTTTAGGATTAGATGGACTAAATTAAAAAATTTACTATTGAATTAGCCATCGCATGATAAATTTAGCACTTTTCGGACAATTGTTTAGTTCAAAAGGTAGTGCTGACTTATTATTTTATGTAAAAAAAAGTGGTGCTGACAATAAAGGTGGGGCCCATTGTTAACTTCATCACCATTCATTCTTGCAAAAAAAAAAAATTATCACCATCCATGCTTTCTGCGAGGAAAATGACACAAATGGTCCATGAATTTTGGCCCAATGTATAATGCAGTCCTTGAATTTTGAATTTGTTCGATGTGATCATTAAACTGTAACCCAATGTACAGTGTGGTCCATAAACTTTCAATTTGTTTAATATAGTCCATGAACTTTTGATACATGTTCAACTTAGTCCCTAAACTATATGAAAATATTCGATATTGTCTTTCACATAGTTTATGAACTAAATTAAATATGTACAAAAAATTCAGTGACTATATTGAATAAATTGTAAGTTTTGGGATCACATTGCACATTTGGCTAAAATTTAGGGACTATATTGAATAAATTAAAAGTTCAGAAATCACATTACATATTGAATCAAGGTTCAGCGATCATTTCTGCTATTTTCTCTTCTGCAAATTTTCCCTCACGGCCTTTTGCATGATAGTCAATTTTAAGTCGTGATGCTGATAAAAAAAAAAACAGCGAGTCAGTACTTTTCCTCCACCATCTCTTCCGCGAGCTTCCCCGGCACTTGCTACCGATGCTTCTCAGGAGTATCGACCGATGGGCTCTTTAATGTCTGTTTAACAGGTCTGAACTTCTTTGATCTTACGTTGCTCATCTCTCTTTTTGGAGGCGGGCACCATTTCTGTTTCTCGTGTTCCATCATCCATTACTTACTTTGGACCATGGAATCGATCTGTCTCGAGCTGAATTTGTGCAAAGCAATCCAATCCAAGAGCTTCTAGCAACTTGCAATTGATCCTTGTTAGAATTTTAGCCCGTCTTTCTCGATCGCGTTGACCTACATAGATCGTCTCCGATATGTAAATCGTTGTTCCGCTCGTCTCTTCACTTGTTGTAGAAGGTGGGAAATTTGTTTTTGGGTTAATACCACAAAAAAACCCCCAATTGATGCACTTGTTACAAATTTATCCAAAACTAATTTTTCGACCACCAAAAACCCCAAACCGGTACACCCGTGACAAATTTACCTTCGTTAGTTTTCATTAAATTTTACTGTCAAATTACTTAGTTGAATGACATGTGACAGTTGACGGGTGTACCGGTTTGGGGTTTTACCCTCTGTTTGTCACAAGTGTACAAAATTGATAAAAATGAAAAATTAATCTAATTTAACGGAAACTAAACGGACGGTAAATTTGTCACAAGAGTACAAATTTGAGATTTTTTGTGGTCAAAAAATTAGTTTGGGGTAAATTTATCACAAGTATACTAATTTGAAATTTTTGATGGTTAAAAAATTAATTCGAAATAAATTTGTGATAAGTATTCTAATTTAAGAATTTTCGTGGTATTAACCCTTCATTTGTCCTTCGATCCCCTTCCAAGATGAGAAGGAGGGCTGGCATGGCGAAACGATTGGAGATGCCACTGATCCTCCCATAAAGGTTGGCTGAGCATATTCCCGGCCCTTCAATGAGAGACCACACGACTTCATTGGTAACAATATTACCCCTGCCTGTCTTGGTCGGTCTCTTTCGATTAAGGTGGACGGTAAAAAACGTGGATATTTTTTTTACGGTAAAAAGAAATCCATTCTTCACTTCCCATAACAGTAGATTAAACGTGAAAAGAAATCTCGTTTTATACAAAAACACGGGTAGGCGTTGAAATGAGAACTTGCTTCTCGCCTGATGAAAAAACGGAAGAAAAAATATGTTCAGAATCATGCAGAATGTTTTGGTTCTTCTCTGTGATAAAAATGAAAAATTAAAACAACATTGTACAGGAACCGATGCCTAATACTCCAAAAAATCTCAAACTTTAGTTTTTGTTCCGATTTTACCATTTGTCTCGTAAAAAACCTCCAACTTTAGGATCAATCTTAATTCTACCATAAACCTTTTTACTTTGTGTCATATCCCAATTCTTCCCCAAAAGTTTTTTTGTCCTAAGAAAAACCCCCAACTTTAGGTCTTAATCCCAATTTTACTGTCAAGTCCCAATTTTACTCCAAAATTTTTCCAATCTCATAAAAAACCACAAATTTTTACTTGAGTCACAAATTTGCCCCCATAAACCCTCCATAAAAAATCTCTCGTTGACAACCAAGAGATGGAAAACTCCCAAGCACGAGTTGTTCAAGCGTATCGAGCGCACGAGAGATGGGACATTCCCAAGCATAAGAGATTAATGAGTGCAAAATCACTGAGGGCGATTTTGACGAAGGGTTAATGGAAAGGAGATTTGGAACTTAAGTAAAATTGGTGATATGAGACAAAAATAATTAGAGTGAAATTGAAATTGGACCTAAAACTAATGTGACAATTTGGGCAGAATTGAGACTGGATATAAAGTTGAGCGTTTTTTACGAAATAAAAAAAGTTTAGGATTTTTTATGAGACAAAAAAAGTTTTGGATAAAATTTGGACATGATCTAAAATTGGAGGTTTTTTATACGACAAAAGGTAGAATTGAAACAATAACTAAAATTAGAGATTTTTTAGGATATTAGGTCCAGAAACCGAACAATTCTTTCCATACTCAGTCTTCATGTTTCATGCTTTCCGCGAATTTTCTCTTCAGCCTTTTGCATTCAGTTGACTGCGAGTCGTGACGCTGACCAGAAGAAACCGTGTTTGGACTTATATGTTTCCATCACCATCTCTTCCGCGAGCTTTACCAGCACTTGCCACCGATGCTTCTCAAGAATATCAATCGGCAGGAGGACTAAACTTCAATGGTCTTATGTTGCTCATCTCGGGGCTCGTTCAGCTCCTTAAAAAACGAAGAGAAGGAAGATCGAGAGCTCTCACGGGAAGAGAGGAAACGAAGGAAAAAGAGGAAACGAAGAGAGGAAACGAAGGAAAAAGGGAAAAGAGAAGAGGGTTTTGCGCCACGGGGCCTCGCCAAGCCAATTCGACTTCGTATTGCAATGCCCGGTAAGTACTCGCGGCTCTCGTTCGTTCATTCGGAGTATTTTTTGGATTTGTGGCATAATTTCGGAGTTTTGTGAAAATAAAGCCGCGTAGACCGATTTTTGAGTCGTTGAGCTACGTATATATATAGAATTGGTAGTTTGGGGTCTCGTGGAGTCATGGGATTTTACGAAACTCGATTTGAATTTATGGTTTGCCCGAAAAGAATTTTTGAAGTTGAGCGCGTGTGGTGAACAGTACGCGATAGAAGCTTTCCACGCCAATTTTCGTTGCTTTTTGGCCCGATTTTGGGTCGGCCAAGTCGGGGGTCTTGTAATTCTCTGAATGGGTTTTCTTTTGACTATAAGCTCGCTTGAAATGGGTTCGGTGGAGGAGGAAGTTATGGCCCGATCAAGTTTCGCGTTTAAGTTCCGCGTTGCGGATGGTTTTGAGTAATCGCTTTGAATGAGCAATTTGTGACCGCCTTTTAGTCGTTACCTTAACATCTAAGCCTAGTTTAACTGAGTTGCAGTTGAGGTAGCGTTTTACTCGATTTTAACATTGTTTCTCGCTTATTTGATAGGATTGCGAGTTCGACGGTTCGAGTAATCTTTGTTGTTTCACCGTAGGCATTTTCAGGTGAGTGGTGCTATCTCTACTTTGAGTTTATAAACTCATGTTTTGAAAGTAATAAAGATTTGAGTATCGTATGAATTATTAAAGCATGTTTGTTGCATAAAAGCCTAGATCGAACATTTACTACTCTTTGGTAATTTGAGAATGGTTTTAAAAAATATATTGCAAACGGATATATACATGTTATGTTGCGAACTAGTTTATGAAATGGGTGCGGAAATGATTCAAGAAATGCTTTACGAAATGTATTTCTGGCGGATGAGCCGTGTTGCGAGAAAGTTATTTGTTTGGTTTGTACAATGTATTATGGATTAGATTTCTAATATTTGAGGATGATTGTTTGATAATCAATATGACTGTGAACCCGGGTAAGGGTTTCGGGTATGCATACCGGTTTAGGATATCATTCTGGGCCGAGCCACCGGCTTTGTAGGTGGAGAGCTTTCCTAGGGGAATCTCGGTCGCCTTGTCACAAGGCGTTGTGTCGTGACCATGGTAGTATATTGAGCAATAGATTGGCTGATGGAATGAACCATCGACGTGTGATGTGATATGAGATTTATCAATGGAATAGACCATTGATGTGTGATTTGAGATTGGTCAATAGAATGGACAATTGACATGGTTTTTAATAGAGATTAATCAATGGACTTGACCATTGCTGTTTATTATGTGATGGTGATTTAAATGAGTATTTTCTGAATTGTATAAAGTCTTGTTGAAATAAACCAACTCGTATTTGATTTGATATATATATATATATATATATATATATAATATCTTTGGATTGAAGTATGAGCTTCCAGCATTGTTATATGCTGCTCGATCTGCTTAGAAGGGATACACACTACTTACTGAGCTGTGGTTGCTCACTCCTCTCTTTCCCCAATCTTTTCAGGTTCCTTTGTTAGTAGCCAATAGAGTGATATCGATGTCGTGGGGACTTTTGGAAGTTTGTTCTTTGGTTGTGGATTCAGGCTGCGTCTTCGGACGAAAGGACGGCCGTGTCATCCCCGGTTTTGATAGTTTTTGGGGTGTGACACTATTTTTGGAGTGGGGCACCAGTTCTGATGGCGTGATCCATCTTGATTATTTACTTCGTACTATAGAATCAATTTATCTTAAGTTGAATCTGTGCAGAGTATGACTCTTTTTATCCCTTCGTTCTTTCTGCAATGCGATCCGAGAGTTTCTAGCACTTGCAGTCGATCCTTTTTACATGTTTAGGCCATTTCTGCGATATGGAAATTGTCGCTTCGCTTGTGTCTTCACTCGTCGTAGAAGGTGGAAAATTTGTTTATCGTTCAATCAGTGCCAAGATGAGGAGTTGCTGGCATGGAGAAACAATTGGAGATGCCACTGATTCTCACATAAAAGTGGCGGAGCATATTCCCTGCCCTTCGATTAGAGACCACACGACCGCATCGCAAACAATGGCTCGTATTCTAAAATCATTACACGATGATAAAGTACGGCGAATTGGAATATGGGGAATGGGAGGAGTAGGCAAGAGCTACCTGGTGAAGAACCTAAACAACAAGCTCAGCAGCACTTTGTCATCACGGCAACCTTTCAGCTTGGTTATCTGGGCAACTGTTTCGAAAACTACCTCATCCCAAGAGCTGAATCTGAAGAATCTGCAGAACAAAATAGCCAATCGGTTGAACTTGAAGGAGGAGGAAACCATGGAAAGGACAGCTATACAACTTTTGGAAAGGCTTAGAAGGGAAAACTTTCTTCTCATTCTTGATGATGTATGGGAAGCCATCAACTTGGATCTTGTTGGTATCCCACGACCCGAAAACCATTTGGGGTCTAAGATTCTACTGACGTCGCGTTCTTTTCATGTTTGTCGAGCAATGATGACCGATGTTGAAGTTAAGGTAGAAGTCTTGACGGATGAAGAAGCATGGGAATTATTTAAGGAACATGCCGGAGAAGTAGCTGATTCGCAGAGTATTAAACCGTTAGCGGGAACTGTCTGCAAAGGATGTGGAAAGCTGCCACTGGCTCTCATAACAGTGGGTTCAGCGATGAGACGGAAGACGCAGGTTGGCCTGTGGGAGGATGCTATAGATGAGTTGAGAAGGCCAAGACCTTCTATTCACGATATAGAGCCCAACTTGTATAGCTCACTGAAGTTGAGCTATGACTCGCTGCAGAATGAACAACTCAAATCTTGTTTTCTGTATTGTTGCCTGTATCCGGATGACTACTCCATTCTGATAAGCGAACTTGTGGAATGCTGGTGGGCCGAAGGTCTGATCGACGATCAACTTAACTATCATACCGCATTAAACAAGGGAACCGCCTTGATTGAGAGTTTGAAAGACTCGTGTTTATTGGAGACTGGCGATTCAGATAATAGCGTAAAGATGCACGGCGTGGTTCGTGATGTTGCGATATGGATCGCAACATGCGCAGGTCCAGAATCCAAGTTTCTCATTCGAGCTAACGCCGGAATGATTAGACTTTCAGAGGTCAAGTTGCAAAGAAATCTGGAAAGGTTTTCCTTTACGAGGAGTAACATAGAGGCGTTGCCTGATCAGGAAATAGAATGTTCTAAAATGAGATCTATTTTCCTTCAATACAACTTCCTACAAAATATTCCAGAGAACTTTCTGCGAGGATTCAGTGCTTTGAAAATAATGAATTTGGGAGGAACCCAAATAAGGTCATTACCCGTTTCTCTCCTCCATCTACAAGATCTTCGCGCTCTGCTTCTGAGGAGTTGCAACCATCTTGAAGAATTGCCTCCGTTGGGAAGTCTTACCAAACTCAGTATACTTGATCTCCATGACACAAGTATCAAGCAATTGCCAGAAGGGATGGATCAACTAACAAACCTAAGGAAGTTAGATCTATCATACACGCTCAACTTGGAATTCGTTCTAGCAGAAACAGTTTCTAAGCTGAATTCCTTGGAATTCTTAGACATGACGGAAAGTGGTTACCGCTGGCTCATCAAGCAAAGACCTCCGCTGTCCTACTTCGAGATTTACTTTCAAGAGCGCCACATGGAGCAAAGGGCGACCCTGGAGGATTTACAGTCTTTGCAAAGGTTATCCGTCCTATATCTATGCTTGCATGATACGGTGAAGGCGTTTGAAGAATGCAGTGTTTATTGGATCGAAAGGCTGAAAACGTTTCGCTGCTCAATGGGTCTGACGAATTTAGTGCACGATATACCAAGACCATTGGAAAAAGACCTCTCAGGAGACAGTATAGAATGGTTCATTTCTCACGCAACTTCTCTAGCCTTTTATAATCGTTGCAATCTTCACGTGATTCTGGAAAATGTCGTCATAAACCGAGTGGATTGTTTTACTAATATGAAGACATTGACTCTCAAAGATGCCATGCTGAACGAAGGAAGCAATGCTCAGTTCGACCTACTACCGAATTTGGAAGAGCTGTATTTTGATAACATTGGGAAGATAAAGAGCATATCAGTATTAGCTGATCGCTTGGGATTGAGCTTTCCTAGATTGGAAGCTTTGGTGGTAACTGGATGCGACGAATTGGAGAATCTTTTCTACTTGGGGGGTCGGATCACAAGCCTGCCCAAATTGAGCAAAATCAAGGTAGAGGCTTGTGTCCATCTAAATGAACTCTTCCAACACGTCCCAGGAAGCGGGAAAGAATATGCTGCTGTTCCTAACCTGCGGGCGGCACGTTTGAGCGGGCTACCCCAATTACAATGCCTCTGTAGGAGAGGAGAGTCGTGGCAGAGTCTCGAGCAACTTGAAGTTGTGCGTTGTCCTTCACTTAAGATGTTGCCATTCAGGACCATGAATGGCAACTCGATAAAGCAGATTAGAGGCGACAAACTTTGGTGGAGTAAAGTTCATTGGGATACTGATGCTATCAAGTTGTATTTTGACGCGTATTTCAGAGAAGTGCTTGATTTACAGGCCAACCTTCGCAGGTGAATTGATCAGACAAGGGGTCTGTATCTCATGTTCCTTTGTACCAGAAAATTGCTGACTGATGTATCGTGCAAATCTAGGAAATGTATTTTGTTTCAGTTGTTGCTAATTCATGTTTAGGCCTCCATGTTCGAAGACTTGGTCTGTATATGGATGTTCGCTTACGCAGGTTCTCTGTGGATAAGAGTTTTTTGGCATCTGGCTGCTTCCTCTTGCTCTGCTGATTGAGTTCCTTGAAAGCGTTGCTAACTGTCACATCCCCTTGGTAACAAATGAGTTGTCACTGGCAAGTGAGGGCATGTTTGGTAGGGGTGTAAACGGTTCGGTTTTTCGGTTCGGTTTTCTTGAAAAATCGAACCGAACCGAACCATTAAGGGTGCCCTCTTGATCCGAACCAAAACCCCCTCGAACCGAATTGGAACCAAACCGAAAAATCAATTTGGTTCGGTTTAATTCGGTTTGGTTCGGATCAGTTTTCGGTTCCTTCTTTTCTTTTTTTTTTTTGCTTTTTATTCATCGCCGCCTGGATCGCTCGCTCTTTCCCCTTCCTCTTTCTCCCTGACCAACTTCTCATTCTGCAACTTCAACTTCTCGTTCTGAACGGAAGCGGAGATTGCCTCCGTTCAACCGATCGGTCACCATGTGTGCGAAGCCCGCGGAAAAGCCCTGTGGCGGTAAGCCCTCTTTCGAGTGAGCTGGTTCCGTGCATCTACAGCTCGTTCGAATCGTTCATGACCACCGGCGATTCCATCAAAGGTAAGGTCCAGAGGCTCTGCAGCTTGTTCGAATCCGCCAAGTCCCCATCTCGGGGCGCTGATGAGGCCCAAACCGTAGTGGTTGCTCATGCCCCTTCCAAGCTGAAACCCGCGAAGTCGGTCGATTGTGGGTACGATCACGGCTGCTCGTTTAGGTTGCCGGGCAAGGAGGATAGGATTGTGGTGTATTTCACCAGTTCGGAGGACGTTCGAGGATTGTTACGTCGTGAGGATGATATTAAGGGGATTCAGGGTTTGGGTCGACGAGAGGGATGTGTCGATGGACTTAGCGTATAGGAAGGAGCTGCTGAGTGTGTCTACTGAGCGTACAAAGGTTTTCGTCGCTCAAAGCCGCCCTCTCCATTTCGAGGCCATCCACCAGCTCGCCTAACCCACTCCCTCAGCCCCTCCACCTCCGCATCCCTTTGGTGAAGCAGAGGGAAGAAGAGACACGAAGGTAAATCAAGCGTCCCTCAGATCCGGGTACGAGCAGCTGTTTCTCATCCTCCTAGACGAACTCGAGGAGAACTCATATTCGCCCCAATCGGAGCTCCGACGGTCGTAGCTGTCGTACCACTTGTACGGCGTCGCCGGGTTCGACGACGACGACGACTTCCGCGAGTCCGACCTCAGGTACGAGCCCGACGATCCCGCGTCTCCGCCGTGGTTGGATCTGCTGAGGAACCCGCAGATGATGGCGAAGAGGACGAGGATGAGGTTGATAGTGTCCCAGCTCTTCTTGACGGAACGGGGCCGGAAGATCTGGGAAGTAAGGCTGAGGAAGACGAAGAGCCAGAGAAGTAGCACCGGTCTGAAAAGCCTTTTAAGGTAAAAAGCAAAGGGTGTATTTTCAGTTCGGTTCGATCCGAACCGAACCGAAATAAACCGAACTGAAAGAAAAAGAATGGTTTTTTTTTAGTATCCGAGCCGAAAATCGAATCGAACCGAAATGCACAAAATTTTTGGTTCGGTTCGGTTCGGTTCGTATCTCGGTTCGATTTTTCGGTTCGGTTCTGACACCCTAATGTTTGGTAATATTTTTGTTTTTATGTTCTTTTGTTCCCCGGAACAAAAAGAAAGAATAGAAATTTATTTGTGTAAGTTAATTTTTCTATTCTTCGGAATAGATCAGTGGCCAGGAAATAAATTTGGAACAAAAACAAGAAGTTAAAAAAAATATATTTTTTTGTTCTCAAGAACAAAAAGAGAAACAATGTCATTTTAGAAACAAGCTTAGCATAATCTAAACCCTAAAACCTTAAACCCTACACCCTAAAATCTTAAACCCGACACTCTAGACCCTAGATCTTAAACCCTATACCCTAGACCCTAAACGTTACACCTTAAACCCTAAACCCTGCACCTTAAATCCTAAACCCTACACCTTACACCCTAAAGCTCAAAAGGTCTATGCACCTGTTTATTGTAATGCCCAAAGATTTATCGTCAACATCTTCATATTGTGAGTTATAAACTAGTGGAACTATTTGCTGCCATTTCCAACCATCCATCTTTGACTAACTATTACGTTGGATTTTCTAAGGTCATCTTAGAATATCTTGATTAGTTAAGTCCTTACAAATGTTCAGTTTTATCTAAACATGAACTGTTAAGTCTTTACTGACATTTTTATAATTAAATGAAAAAAATTGAGGATATAAATTTTTAGGGTCGTACCAAATGCATTTCTGTACATTTTCTATTCCATAAATAGAAATTTTGTGTGGTTACCAAACGCGTTCTTTTGTTCAGAAATTCGTCCGGGAAATAGATATAGAATAAACTATTTCTGAATATCAATTATTTCCGGGAATAGAAATGTTACCATATGCACCTTTATTTATTCAGGAACTCGTATGTCACCAATAGGTTTTGAAAAGTACATCTTACCACCATTTTAATTATCTACTTAACATTTATTTTTTGTATTTTACCAACGTATTAAATTTAATGATTGTTGTCATAATTTACCGTGGTTTATTTTTAGAGCTTATCAAAGTGCTAAAATTACTCACTTTTATACAAAATTACCGACTGTAATTTGAGTGATTTACCAATTTATCTTTGATTTGATTAGCAATTAATTTTAATTATATGAACTCACATTTGAGTCGCAAAAGACAATCTACGAAGGCTTATTTTTGGAACTTAGGAGCACCAAGTTGTCAAATTTACTAGCTCTTATGTAGAATTACCAATTCTTATGTCACCAGTGTTTCATGTTCTTTTCTTTTTCCCATTTTTTTCCAAGACCAATGTTCATTTGGATTGTTTGAGAAGTACTAGCTCTTACACATGTTACCAACTTTTTATAAGATATTATCAACTCATTTCAAGATTACAAACATTTCTAATAATTTACCAACATGTGAGCTTAAATTACCAACTCTTATATAAAATTATCAATCCTTGATTGAGCTAAATGCCCACGTTTATTTGATTGTTTCAAATTTCCAAACTGTTCTAATAATTACCAATAGATATTCATATAGGTCAAATTTCCAAACTGTGATAAGGTCACTAAATCTTGGGAAAATTTCAAATAAGCACCTGAAGTGCTCTCGTTTTCTCAAATAAGGGCATGAAGTGGATCTTGTGTCACATAAGACCTTGAAATGCCCATGTCAGTCTCAAATAATGACCTGAAGTGACTATGACAATTTCAAATAAGGGCTTGACCTCGCCGGTCGTCAATCGGCTAAATATTTTGGTCGGTCAAGGTCATTTTTGTCCAAACATAATTTTAATTTTAAATTTCTTTTTATTTTTTTCTCATTTCTTTTTTTTTTCTTTCTGGAGAGGGTCACCGGGCCCTCGCCGACCACTGGGCAAGGGTGGCCCTCTCCGAGCATCACCGGTGGGCGGCCATTGCTTGAGACCGGCCACCGGCAAAGAAGAAAGAAACGGCCAATAAAAGGAAAAAAGAAAAAAAAAAGGAAAAGGACGAAGAAGCCCTTGACCAGCCGGAAAGTCAAGCTCGTCTTTGAAACTGACATAATCACTACATTTCTTATTTGAAACAATATCCATTTTAGACTATTATTTGAGAAAATGAGGGCACTTCAGGCATCAAATCTTGTATGAAATTGTCAACCCTTTATGAGTCCACGTACTAACTTTTAGGGTCAATGCCACGAAAAACCTCAAAATAGTACACTTGTAATAAATTTACCATAAATTAATTTTTTGACCACCAAAAATCCAAAACTAGTATACATGTGACAATTTTACCCTATGTTAGTTTCCGTTAAATTTTACCATCAAATTTCTTACCCTCTGTTTGTTACAGGTGTACCAGTTTGTGGTTTTCGTGATATTAATCCAATTTAACATATGGTAAATTTATCACAAATGTACCGGTTTGGAATTTTTTGTGGTAAAAAAATTAGTTTAAGGTAAATTTGTCACAAGTGTACTAATTTGGGATTTTTTGTGGTCAAAAAATTAGTTTGGAATAAATTTATCATTTATATATCAATTTGGGATTTTTCATGATATTAACCTTAACTTTTATTACGTTTTTTCAAAAGTACCAATTGTTCCAATGCTTTATCAACAGTTATTTGAAGAGCTTACCAACGGATTAAAGTAGTGACCCATCTTATACGAAATCGCCAACAATTTTGAAAATTATTGACCATTCCAACAATATTATTGGTAGAGTTTAAGCTATTCTATGAAATTATTGGCTCTCATTTGAGTCAATTGCCGATATATATTGAAAATTTTGGGAAAAGGACATCATAAGTGCCATAACTTTTGTACGGTGCTCACTTGAGTGCCATAAGTGTTTTTTTCGATCACTCAAGTACCATAATTTATGTATGACGTTCACTTGAGTGTCATAATTTTTTTTTTCGATCACTTGAATGTCATATAACTTTTCAAGTGATCATCTTGAGTGCCATAACTTTCTAAAAATGTTCAACACAAATGCCATGCCACGTCGGATTTTTTGACACTTGGGTGAACGTTTTTAAAAATTTATGACACTCAAGTGATCAATTGAAAGTTATGACACTGAACTGAGCATTATTTTCAAAGTTATGATATTCAAGTGATCGAAAAAAAAGTTATGGCATTCAAGCGAACGCTGTACGAAAGTTACGGCACTTATAATGTCCTTTTCCCGAAAATTTTCAAATTACAATATATTAGAAATAATTTACCGACAGTTTTTTGAGTAGCTAACCAACTTATAAAGTTGCTAACTCTTATATAGAAATGTCACTTTTATTTGAGTTCATTTAACAACGTTTACTGATCACTTCAAAAGTACGAATTTTTCCCATAATTTTATCAATATTTTATTTGGGGGTTGATCTAGAGTAACCAACTGTAGAAAATTACACAACATTTAACATGATTTACTTAACTCAATAGCCCCATCTACCTATTGTTGGATACCCTTTTCATGCTTGAATCTTTGATAGCCTTTTGATTTATACTTCTATGAATAATGCAATTGTCTAGAAATTAGAAGGGCAAATTGTTGAGAACCAAGAAAGATTTATCACTTTTAGGGTGCGCATGGCAATGATTCTGTGCCCGGGAACTGATTCTGCTCATAAATTATTCTTTTTTATTCTGTGCTCGGGAACTGATTCTGAGTATTTGAAGGAGTTTGGTAACGGCCCAAAATTTCTATTCTTGAAATAGTAAAAGAACAGAAATGCGTTTGGTAACGGCATAAAATTTCTTTTTATTAATAATATTTTAATATTTCTTTCTTTTTTCTTTTTTTTTCTTTTCTTTTTTTCTTCTCCTCCTTCTTGGCCATGGCCGGTAAAAATTTTCTTTATTAATAATATTTCATTAAAAATAATTTTTTTATTATTTTTGGCCATGGCTGGTAAATTTTTTTTATATTAAAAATATATTTTTCTTTTTTTTGGCCAAGGCCGGTAAAATATTTTTTTTATAAATTTTTTTTTATTAAAATATTTTAATCTCGTCAGATATGGCGAGGGTGGCCCTCACGCCAGACATTAGAAGCTACATTAAAAACTAAGAAAAAGAAGAAGAAAAAAAATTGATTTTCATTTTTGTTCCCAGAATCAAGAAGCTACTTTTTTTTTATTCTTGATTCTGCTCCAAAACTGATTCTGGGCACAAATTTACAAAAAATTGTGTCCAGAATCTAAAAATTTAACAAACAGATTTATATTCCAAAACTGATTCTAGGAACAAAAAAACAAAAATTTTCACTATTTGGCCAGTTGCCAAACAGTCCCTTACTGGCCATTAAACAACCTAATGAAATCGGAATAAAAAATTTGACAAATTATAATCTAACTAAAGAAGTACCTCCAAATTTTTAAAAAAAAGGATGGCAACCGTAGAGGAAGATCGACCCTACTCGTGTTCTTCAGTCCACACAATCCCTCTTCTTTGTAGAACTTTCGGTTTGCTAAACGACGACGACAGACTATAATCGACATCTTCGGGTTCCCGCTCGCCTTCCTCATCCATTGCTCATTGCTTCGGGAATACAATTTCGCCCGACTCTATCAAGTCCACGTTTATGTTATCAATTATCATATGAAATTACCAACTCTTATTTGAGTCAATTACCAACGTTTATTAGATTGTTTCGATATAACCAACTCTTCTTAATAATTTTGTAATTTTATTTCCGCAGCGTACTGACTTGTTAAAGACACCAACTCTTATATGAAATTGCCGACTCATATGTGACTTTAGTTACCACATTTGTTTGATTGTTTCAAAAGTACTAACTCTTCCAACGGTTTGCCGGTAATTATATGCTGAGCAAAGTGAAGAATTCTTTACGAAAGAATTAAAATTTTTCAAAATAACTGACAATTCCAGTAATTTACAAATATGTATTTGTACGGCTTAAGTTACCAACTCTTTTAGTGAAAATAAATTACCCAATCAGTCATAAACTTTTCAATTTGACCAATCAGTCTTAAATGTTTTCATGATATTCCTATGTAGTTTATCTTGCCTAAATTGGCCGAAAATTGCAAACAATGGTGGTTCAGTCATTGCTGGCCGGCCGGCGATCTGCCAGGAATAGCCTGTAATCAAAACGATTTCTTTTTCTCGCTTTTTTTATTTTCTGTTTCTGTTTCTTTCTCTTATTGGGCCGGATGTTCACTTGGCCCAAAATCCTCCCACTTGGGCTTGGGCTCGGGCTTTGCCTGATCAGGTTCAGCGACTGTCCACTCCTTTCCGCCACTGAAACTACAAAATCTCTCCCTGCGCGACGGCTTCCTGCGTAAAACCCAAAACCCCGCCGCGGTCGCCCCTCGCCGCTGGCCGCTCCTCCGATTCTTCACCCGTATCAACCTCTCCCCGTCGCTGCCATCGCCGGCTTGGGCTCGGATACCTCCGACGTCAATGGCGGCCCGCGGCAACTTCGGCAACATGCACGACGTCGCCCTGAAGCCGCGGCTGCTCTCGACGCTCCTGAGGGAGCACGTCCCGGACGATTCGCGTCCCTTCTCGGACCCCTCGGAGCTCGCGAGCGTGATCGCCACGCTCAGGGTCCACAAGCTGCTGTCCGAGTCGTTCGAGGAGTCCACGGACGAGAAGCTGGTCGAGAGCTGGAAGAGGGCGGTGGATGCTTGGGTCGACCGGCTGCTGTTTCTGGTCTCCAGCGACGTGGTAATGATCTCCGCCCTGTCTTGTTTTTTTTTGTGATAATGTTGGCTCTGCGGTAATGGAAGCTCATACTTTTGTTTGACTAAAGTTCCTGTTTTTTTTTTCTTTTTCCCCTGTTAGAATGCTTTTGTAGTTTAGACTGGCAGAATGAGACATCCTTTTTCATTTGGTTTTAGTGTTGCTTGCTTATAATGATATTGGAATTGTGAATTGCATGCTATATGATAGCTCATTCAAAATGAAGTTCTATGGCTGTCCTTCCGTCGTATTCGAAAAAAGAAGAAGTAGTATTATGGCCGAGTTGCGAGGGACGGATGGATATGACTGCTTACTGCTTAATTAGGTTGAATGTACTTCTTTTATTAGGTTATTCTTCCTTTTTGGAGGAATCGGTACTTTTTCCGGCTGTCTTGGATGATCTGTTGCAACCTGGTGAAGAAATTTTTGTTGCTTACATGTAAAGTAGATGGGATCTGTTGGATTTTGTGATTATGTACACCCTTGGTGGAACACAGACTTTGTTAATGAAAGCTGACTTAACCCTTTACGATGGCTTTGCAATTGCTTGTTTGGAATTTGGGAATTTTAGTCTCCGTATTTATGTATCTGAGCAAGCGATTCTCTTCTAGCCAGACAAATGTTGGGCAGGAGTCTGTTTGCTGGGCATAACTTGCCAAGACTGCAGCTCTCACCGTTTCTTGGCATCTTATTCTTCTTGGTTTCAGAAACTTCATGTGCACGTTCAGGTATCTGACTTGTATTTGTGGTTATACTTTCATTTTCCTCTTTCTTCTTTTTCAACTGAGGGACAGTAATCATTGATGATAAGATGCTAGGCTTAGAGAATGACAAGAAGCGAATATTGTTGTTATTGGAGTTTAAAAACCCTCTTCTTTTCATCTTTTTGATAGGCACCAGGAGTTTCCAAGTTTGTGAGAGTGGCATCTATTGCCTCGCTTTCGGACTTGTTTACAAGGTGAGTTGTCTTCTGTTTTTCGTTTGTCCTTCTACTTATGGAATTAGAAAATCCAGCTCATTCACTACTTCTTGTTGTTAGTTAAGAAAGTGTGGCACTGTATTGTGGGTAAGAATCAAGTAATTGCAGATTTTGTGTTACCAGAAGTCATTGAAGAGTTCATTATAAGTATAAACGAATCTGGATCTACTTTGTCTGCTACTTCACATATCTCATATATTATCTTTTGATTATCAAGAATGTTCATCTATAAAGAAGATTTTTTACAAATAATTAGCTTTTCATAAAGAGCATCAAGTGCGCGCAAGACTTATGCTAAACTAACCGCAAAAGATCAAAAAATTCTGAAAACCCTGGCACTTGTATTTTCAATGAATAGCTGTCTTTATTGCTACTGGGGTGACTAATGGTATATCTGCATTTTGACTTAAACAAGAGTTCTTGTGGTACTGCCTAGAAGGCATGTGTACAGGCGTATATTTAGCCAAACTTAGATACAGACTAAGGGTGAGCGGTTCCAGGTTCCTTACAGATTCCAAGTGGAACCTGGAATCTACCCTCGGGTACAGGTTCCTCATTTTTTGAAACTTGGAACCTGGAACCTACCCTGTCACAGGTTCCAGGGTAGATTCCAGGGTTTAATAGGTTCTTTTTTTATTTTATTTTATTATGAAAATGAACGCAACAATACTGAAGAAGCTTGTCATTCACAAAAGAGAATACAAAATACTAGTTTTCTTAGCATTACGGTTCAAACAAATACAATTAAAATGAGAAGTCATTGCATGAATCGATATTAGGGGTGAGCCGTTCCATGTTCCATATAGGTTCCACCTAGAACCTACTCACGATAATAGTCTTCATTTTTTAGAACCTAGAACCTACCATATCACAGGTTCGAGGGTCGGTTCCAAGATCTACTCAGGTTCCATCTGTATTATTAATTGAACAATTGCAGTGAATCATCACCTTTAATGATTACCATTTGTTGCTACCACAACTTATATTTAGACGCACGAAGAATATGAAACATTAACATGTCATAAAATGAAAGCTCAGACTAGTGGTTCCAGATTATATACTCATTATTTAATACCATGAAACACCGCAGGATCACACAAAGACATAGATTAAGAAAAAACATAAAAAACTCTTTTAGGTTTCAGGTTCCAGTTTCCAGGTTCCAAGTTCCACTTACCTAGAACCTGGAACCTACCCGTCGAAACAGGTTCTCCAATTTTTGGAAGCTAGAACCTACCCTGCATACCTTGAAACCTGGAACCTGCAGGTTCCCACAGGTCAGGTTCTCAGGTTTCAAGTTCTACCCTGGAACCATACTCACCCCTAATGCAAACAGCTTAGCTGCTGATGACAATGGTGATGTTATCATTTGATAATTGTGCTTAGTCGCATCTTCTCAATCCTGTTGACCAGTGGTTTCATGATCCTTGTGTTTTTCCTTAATAGAACAAATGACTTAGCTTCGTTTTAAATGTGAGGAAATTTGAGATTCCTGCTGAGTTTATTGGATATTGAAAACCTTCATTGGTGGAAGGTTTTTATGAGATTAATTGGTCATTTCCCATCAAAATTACTGAAAAAGGAAAAGGAGAAGGCAGTGAGAAAGTGACAGCTGATAATGACTCCCTTCATGCATTTTTTATTATATAGTTACTTCAAGCAACATCTATGCCACCATCCGTTAGTTGACCATGAACTATGTGAGAATCGTAGATCTTGTTTAACTGATGCATTGTTTAGTCATCATGTGCTTTATTTTCCTGGACTAGGTTAGGTCAGTTTCCCAACGTGAAGAAAGATGGTATTAGTTTTTCTGGGAAGCTAATTCAACCATTTTTGAAGCTTTTAAATGAAGACGGATCGGAGGCTCAATGGGTTAGTAATTATCTTCTTTTGCTTTTTCTACAATGTCAACCTAAATGTTCTATCATACTTTGCTTTTATTTATAAACTCTGCAAACTGAAAGGTGGAGAAAGGCCTTTGTGCTTGTGGATGTGATTGTTAGAGTAACTTAGAGGTTGTAAATGTTGCAATTGCTGTTCAAAGCATTGTGATTTAAGCTTATGATTCATATAAGTGTTCACAACAACAGCAATTTCGAAAATTTATCTCTTCTACCCAGGGCACAAATTGGTGCTTTATGTCTAGTTTCTTGATATATCCTTAAATGTGAAATACCTAATGTGGTAACTCGCACTATGCCATTGGTACACAATCTACTTGGAGGAGCTGTTGCACTTATGAAATGGAACTTTTGAACTGATGGGTTTTTCAATTGGAGGCACTCTAAGGAGATCTTACATTGTTGGGATTGCAACTTCTGATGTTATGCTTTTATATAATGCAATGCTTTTCTTGAAGCATGCCCGAAACATATCATTCTTTCTGAATGGTAGTTTTTTGGATAGAATTAAGGCAAAATCTTCTGATCTTGTAAGCAGCTAACCAAACTTTTGGTGGGTCTGAATATGATGGTCCTTATGGTTTTGGATTACTGCAGTTTGCTTATGTACTTGTAGCGTCAGCAATTTACCTATCTTTCACATCTTGGCAGCAACATACGTAGTTGCGGGGAAAGTAAACTACATTTTCACCCTTGATGCTATGCAATGTGGCTAGTGGCTATGTATCTGCTTTCACTTGACCATCCCTTAACATAATTGCAGAGTTACCTGTGCTGGGGGTCTTGACTGTAAAAAGTACAGTGCAACTTCTTCAGAATTTGGGAAGTGCATAGACTGCTGTTGTAATTTAACCCAGGTTGTTTAGTGCAAGTCAAATTTAGGTTGGTAATCCTGCCATGTGTATGCCATTGCTTGCATAGCATTTTGCAGTCTATGATGACGAGACTCTCTCTCTCTCTCTCTCTCTCTCTCTCTCTCTCTCTCTCTCTCTCTCTCTCTCTCTCTCTCTCTCTCTCTCTCACTCTCTCTCTCTGAGCTTTGAACACGTTCTTCAACGTGTTTAAAGTTTTCTGCATAATAATGCCAAAAACATTCTTTTTGGCGTGTTTACCTGTGGTAGTTTTAGCCTTCTTTTTGGATTTCCAACTGCTATTGTTATTGTGATGTTTGCAGGATGGAGCAGCTAACATGTTGTGCAGCATTATATGTTACTTTCCCTCTGCCATCCATCGCCATTATGACAGTGTGAGTTTCCGGGTATACTTTAGCTAGAGTCTTTTCTGTCAGGCATACTGATATGCCAAGCATGTGAGAGCACAGTCATGTTTGCCTTCTGGCTTGAAATTTAACAGCTCCAAGTTTAATCAAACTTTTAAATACATAAACACTTGTGAAAAGATTTTTCTTGAAATTTATTTGAATGACTGATATTTGCACTGCTGCTGCTGTTGCACATTCTTTGTTGGTTCCTTTTATCATACTGAAGTGGGAGATTGTAGGTGTATATAAAAGCACTTGAGAACTTAAGAATCACTTATAGTAAAGATAGTTCTGAACTCATTTAGATAATAACCTTATGTGGTCCAAACATCAACTGTGAAAAGAGTAGTAAGCTAATGCATTGGATGAAGTAAAGCTAATTGTCAGATTTATGTGAAGAGGCAGTAGTTTGCAGTAGTTGGCTAGACCTCCCAACTGGGTTAATTTTTTAATCGCTCATGCATTCTATGACATACTTCCTCTGCATTTTGCAGGTTGAGACAACTATTGCTTCGAAGATAATGTCAGGGAAGTGCAGTACTTGCTTGTTAAAGGTTAGTGTGCTTCTCTTTTCTAGTCTTTGTTTCTTGTATGAGATCGACTGACAAGCTTTGGAGCACATGATGGGTTGTTCTGAGGTATATTCTCTCTTAATGTATTTCTGCTGCTCACCTTTCAGAAGCTTACTCACTGCTTAGCAATTCTTCCCCAAGCAAAAGGAGATGAGGAGACCTGGTCTTTACTGATGCAGAAGATCCTTCTCTTAATTGATGGCCATCTGAATGATGCCTTTCAATGCCTAGAGGAAGGTTAGCAAAACATACATAACAGACATACATACTTATATTATCCGGTGTTAGTGCAGGAAATCTGGTGTTGTGACTTATGTTTTTTGCATGTCGCAGAAACCAAAAGTACCAAAGTTGTCAACTTATTGGTTCCACCGGGAAAAGATCCACCAACACCCTTAGGATTTTGCAAGACTATTGACAAAGCAGCTGTTGAGGCCACAAAAAGACTGAAGAGATTGCTAACATCCAGTGTGTCTGCTTTTATGCTTTGCGGTTGTGAGATGCTTACAAATCCTTATCCTGTTCAGGTAGTGACCATCGTCTCTGCACCTTTTCTCAACTTCATGAGAGAGAAACATAGGTTTAATCTTTAAGTGCAACCTTAGAACTATTGATGATTGAGAATATATTACAAATCTTCTTTCTTGCTTTTGTTAATTTTGACAAATATTTCTTTGTGAGAACAGGTGAATATTCCTGTTAAAGCAGTGTTAGCCCTTATCGAAAGAGTGCTAATGGTGGATGGCTCTGTCTCTCAAAGCTTATTGCCCTTTGTCACGGCCACACAACAAGAATCTCTCTGTTCAGAGCTTCCAATGTTTCACTCAGATGCTTTGGATCTGCTAATTGCATTGACAAAAGGCATGCGCAGGTAATCAGTTTCTGCCTATTGTGCTTCTACAGTCTTTTCGTGGGACGAAGTAAGCATTTTATCCAAGGTAGATTTTTTAAATGCTTAAGCAGTGATGTTGTCTCCAGAACTATGTAATACGACTTATTTTACGTGCATTACTGGTTTGGGGCACAGCCATATAAGAATAGACTAAAAGTGATGGGATAATGGGCATGGCAAGGGTGTCAACTGGGCCATCACGAAGAAAATCATTGGGTTGTCGATTGATTTGGCTTGAGTTAGGTGAGAATTGGGAATGTACTGAGGCACCATTTGAGTTTTTGGTGGATGAGTAGAACAAGGTGCTTGATAGTAGGTGGCCTCAACATAACGATATGGTTGCTTTAAGTGCTGCTTGTCCTTCATGCTCTTGTTTCTGCAAAATTGGACAGAGGTTTTACAATGATTCTATATAGTAAAATCTTGCAATGTATTTGTCCTCTTTCCTCATGTTCCTCATTGGTCTCTCTTCGTTTTCTGTTGTTCAATGACATCAAGTCTACATTCTTGTGCAGTCAAATGTTGCCTCATGCTGCATATATTGTCCGACTTATTATGGGATATTTCAAAAACTGCTCATTGCCAGAGTTAAGGGTAAAGATCTACTCAATCATAAGAACTTTGCTGATGTCCATGGGCGTAGGTAAGGCACTTGTGTTAGGACTACGCATGCTTTTTCCCTTTTCGGCTGTTCAGATTATGTCAGTTTATTTTTCGGATTAGGTTATAAAGTAACTATTGTGTTACCCTGCTTCCCCTGAAAGCAGTGGCCTGGAAAGAGAGATCAAATATCAAATATAGAACTTCAGAATCAGCTAACTTGGCCTCTCTCTGTACCACCTGGAACTTCTTTCTCTTGAAGGAAGATGTGAAATATTGGTGTAGATGGTGCCGTCATGCTTGTCAGGATATGTAAGGAAGGAACCTGTTTGATCATTGACAACAGAGAGTTCCATCTCTATGAATATGTGCACACAAACCTAGAGGAATTGTATGGGGTGTTTGGTCTGGCTTTAAGCCAAAACAAAAGACCCTTTTGGCTCTCTGGACAAAAGCTAAAACTAAAAACCAACCCAAATTTTAAGGAGTCAATCAAATGCCAATTCAGCATCCATCAAGTTTGTGACTTTTACAGCTCAATCTGCTGCAGATTGATTCTGTACAATACCCACGTATGGGTTAATATTAGTGATGCAAGTTAATTATTGCTTTCATCCAAAACGATTGATTTACAAGTTCTGAAGCACTGCAACATTCAATCCTTGTTTTGAGGTGTTGCAATTATTTGTAAGGCCGTTGACACTAATAACAGTTAGTCATTTTTTTTGCTAAATAATAACAGTTAGTCATTTGTTCTGCCTTTTCCCTGTTCCACCTTTTGGTTCTATTATTTCATCTCATTGGTTTTTAATGATATAGTTCTATTATAGAACCTGATTTTCTTTTCTTATGTCAATATCTCTACCTCTGCTCGACTGGTAATTGCCTTGATATAATTTCTTAACAGGTATAGCAAAATTCCTGACACAGGAAGTAATCAACAATGTTTTCATTGATTTGAATCCTGATCATGAAAATGGCCTTGCTTTTCCCATCACACTGTCGAGGGCCAATGAAGTGTCATTCCCAAATAAGAAAAAAAGGAAGCATGCTTCTGCAGCTAGATCTTTAGAGGATAAGCATGAAATAGGCTTTGGAGAAGTACCCAAGAATCATCTGGTGGTGCCTGCCAGTGTTAAGATAGCTGCACTGGAGGCATTGGAGGTTCTTCTTACTGTGGTAAGTGCTGCATATATGTGCACTGTTGTCCATATAGAGAATTCTGCCCTCATCTTTTGACATAGAGATAAATTGCTGGGTAGACTTTCTGGATATATCATTATAATGATGCTGGATGAGTTTCTTTTCAACTAAAAATTCTTAATATTTGACCTCTTATGAAGAGATTTATTTCTGTAACTTAGCAAATGTGTTTTGGGGATACAGGTAAATGAAATAAACTCTGGAATATTTCGTTCTTGTACCTTTGGTTGTTCAAAGGGGGTAGTGTGAAATTTCCACTTTATTTTGTGTCAAACTCTCACTTTTTTCAATGAAAATGTCAAGGGAAAGTATCTTGCGTTCCATCAAGGAGGTGTACATTTTTGTTGTTGATCTAGTTAATTTATAATTGTTTGTCTTATTTCCATAACTTGCTTTCGACATGTTGATCGCAGGGTGGCGCTCTTAGGTCCGACTCTTGGAGGAAAAATGTTGATGCACTCTTGATTTCAGTAGCAACAAATTCAGTTCATGATGGATGGAACATTGAGGAAAATAGCATCTGTATGCCGAATGAGCAAATATCTATGATGGAGAAATTAAAACTTGCTGCCTTGAGGGCACTATTGGCATCACTTCTTTCTCAATCTCATGTACGGCCTGCAAATATAGCCAGAAGTCTTGATCTCTTTCAAAGAGGTAATTCTCATTGGCGGACACGTAGTTTCCTTTCTGTGTGATTATATATGATTGGCTATAGTGACAGAAGTAGCAGTGGCAGAACTATATTCATATGCAGAGGAAACTACACCAGTTGTCTAATATTGAGCTCGATGTTGGATTAGTGAGAGTTTCATTTTTGATACATTTGATATTGAAAACTATTCCTTAAATCTTGTCAAGAGGAGTCTTTCTGGAAAGCCATGAGGGCAATAAGTTTGTTCAGAAAAGCATGTCTATGGTGATAGTGTGCAAAAAGAAGGAATTCTTTTCTTCCCCGTAGATCGTAATGGGGATATGATTAATAATAAGGCATATCATGGCTGGAAGAGAGAGAGGGGGAGGCTGCTTATTTTATTTTACTTCTTGAAGATGCTAGTGGAGAAAGTATTCTTTCGAAGGAAGCTTTCTGTGAGGTCGCATGGTCACTTTTCCTTACGGTGAGGTCGCATGACTGCTTTTCCCTTTAATGTCTGTTTGCCTCATTATGGAACTATAGTTTATTATTTAGATGTTTGACGGTGAGATTACTATTGGATTCAATACATATGCAGCAAATGCAATGCGTGAAAATGGTTTTATCTATTTCCAGTCATTTGTTCCTCTTTGATGAAGTCTGTCCTTTTGCAGTTTCTTTTTAATTGTCTCCTAAATCCTTTCTTTTCGTCCTTTTATGGTCCATGAAGATAAAGGTCAATTCAGAGTTGTCATTGGTGAACTTCTAAGGACATGTACTTCAACTTTTTGATGTACTGCGTGAATAGATTAGATTGTGCTGATTTGAGATAACTTAATTGATTAAAGGAGTCATTTACAAAATGACCCGCTATCGCATTTCTTCTGAGATTCCTCAAAAATCCCTATCAACCTTAACGAATTAACATCTATCTGTCCTGCACTCAGCTAATCGACAGAAACAATCGTGGTTCCTTCTGATTAGGTTTAATTCTGTCCTCACTGGCTAGACATATCCTTGCAATATCTTATTTCATCATCGTGAGATGCAGATCGCCGTGTCCTTGCTAGTGCAATCGCTGCTCATCACCCATTGAATTACTTCTCTTAGAAATCTTCTAAATTTCTTTTAATGGACTTAGTATAATGGTTTTCTGCAGGAAGACAAGAAACAGGGACAAAGGTGGCTGAATTTTGTGCACATGCTCTTTTAGCTTTGGAAGTACTTATTCATCCTCGGGCGCTACCTCTGGAAGATTACTCGCCCGCAACTACCGACTCCTTTGGGGGATTTTCCCACAGATTCGCGGAAAATGTGCACTCTGGTGGCCAGCCTGTAGTTGCTTTTTCACAAAGGACCGAGCTTACTCTGCCTGATTCGTATGATGATGAGCTCCACAGCAAGTGGCTTCAAAATCAGGAAAAACCCGAGACTCCATTAGATGACCAGGTTAAGAAAGTTAAGTACAGCAAAGAGAGCGGTGACTCGTCCCAAGCGATTAGCACGGAAAAGGAACATGACGACTCATTAGATAAAAGCACTACCGAGAAAAGCAGGGCATCGCCACTCGAAGTAGATGCGAATGACATGGAAATGGAAGAGAGGAATCCTAGTATTGTGGAATCACCAAAGCATGAAGAGTCGACTAGGAAAGTTCAAGAACATCCGCAACAGGAACCTGTACTGATTCCTTGTATAGCGACTACTTCTAAAGGTGTTGAAAGAGATTCCAGAGCAGATCCACTGAGCAGTGGTACTGTAGATCATGAAAATAGAGAAATCGGATTAGAAGGGAATGTCGTTGTGACTCGAGGTGATGGCATTTCTGCTTCAGGTGAAAAGGATATGCTGGGGACTTCGGATTCTGGAAAGGGCAAGGAGATAATTGTAAATCCGGACAACGAATCATCTATGGACCTTTTCCCCGATATTATTGATGTAGAACCGGATTCGGATGAGGAGTAACTATATGTCACATGAGGCATATTTTTCAGTGCATAAAAGGCAGAAAAAAGGCAGAATAGAAACCTGAGAGTCCAATCTTTTATCAAGTAATTCATTTGAGTTCTGTCTCGCACTTGTAGTAATCTTATATTAATTTTTCTGTATCAGAGTCCAATCTTTTATCAAGTAATTCATTTGAGTTCTGTCTCGCACTTGTAGTAATCTTATGTCAATTTTTCTGTATCAGCTTTGGATCCCATCCTATTGTGGTGAATGTGCATTTGATGGACACTTTGGCTAGGAAAGCGAACTGGATTCTTCTCATTAACAGGATTATTCAGAGATTGATTTCTCGTCGTTCATGAACTTTGGCATCTGCTGAGCAGGTTCACAACAAAAGTTGCTGCAGTGTCCGAAGGCCAGCATCATATTTTCCTTTTTGGGTGTAATGGAAGGTGAAAGGACATCACAGATTACAACTCTAGGCCTCATAACGCCCACTTTGTCTCCTGAACGCGTTAGTTCTGAACACCCACAGGAAGACTCAAATGTATAACGAAGTCCGGCCCCTGGGAAAAACCTGAATTCGCTTGCCAGTTGACGCACATGTTTCCTTCGCGAGCTGCGTGTTGAATTGTGTTCACCCAATCTCGCTTCGTTGACGCGAGGATTTAGTAATGGCCCCCTATTCTGCACACAGAGCTGAACGATGCCCAATTCTCTCCGAGAATCCCTCAATACAATCACCGGACCTATCGCCTACGATTCCACCTACTGAAGGATTCCCAGGGTTCCGCCTTTATGTTCCGTTAGTGCGAACCTTGTACCAATGAGTTGGCAGCAGCGACCAGCCTATGAGCTCTCGATTCTTCACAGGTTTCATAAAGGGGCTCGTGGTGCATTTTGCCTATTTCTATTTCCACATATCTCGAGTGTGCACAAATAGTGTCACTTATATGCCCGGTTTCATGAAAGGAGAGGCCGTCTAGACCACCCTTTTGCCATTTGCCTTAGACCGTTGTATGCACTCAGCCTCTGTCCCTCGAGCCGTGAAAGAGATCTCACTTCTTCTGAGCCATTTGCTTGGTATATTTGGAAAGAAAAAACGCAGGAGGAGGATGTTCATCAAAGACAAAGCGCGAGTTGTTATGAGGATCCAATTATACAAGCCCTGACGAGACGGCATTCATTGACCTATGCGGACATTATAACAAGTTATGTGCTTTCGATCGCTGGACAATCTCAAAACCCAAATTTTCCCATAAAATGGCCCAACCCAACATTCCTTAAAAATGGTTGGCCAGAAAAAAAAAAGGGGAGGGGGGAAAGAACCCTTCCGAGATGATACTTACGAACAGACCAATATATATATATATATATATACACACACACACACACTTCTTGTTAATTCCCTAAAGAACCTCCAACTTTAGATCAAATCTCAATTCTGATCGAATTTTTTTTTTGTCTAAAAAAAGAACCCTCAATTTTCACTTTAGTTCAAATCTGTCTACATGTTAAAAAATCGTTACTAGTTTCTTCAAAATTATTAATATCAGGAGGCTGCTGCTGTTTCAAACGAAGGTAGAGCATGCTGATGAAGATGCAGGTTCTAATAATGAATCTCTAGCTGGTCTGCTGCATCCATCCATGTATGCATATGTTGTTCCTTTCATTGGATTTCATCACGTGTTCAATTATTCGGCAGCCTACCATACCTTAACATTTCCCTGCAAAAATCAACTCTTATCTCCCCCAAACACCTCTCTCTCTCTCTCTCTCTCTCTCTCTCTCTCAACACCCCTTTTTTTTTCTGGCGATTTCACACGAGCGGATGTTGAATTAGTAGTGGTTGTCAACTTAAAACGAATGGAAGCCCACGATGGAGTGCCGGGCTGCTCAAATTTGACTGAGGAGCTATAGTTTTTTTTTTTTGTTGCTCCCGTTGACTTGTAGTGTGCGGAATTTGACGATGTTGGAGCATCATTATATATTTTCCTGACTGCCAAGTGAGACTCTCGGCCGAGGGTTGGTGGAAAGTTGGCCCCAGAAAACAAGGAATCTCTTGCAAGAACAAAAGATGCCACCAGCTTCTGTCCTCACTCTTTTTCAAATTGTCTTGGTTTCGTGGGGATGATGGACTCTCTTGTTTTGTATTGGTGGAAGTATAATGCTGTTGAGTCCGTGAATCATTATGTGCTAATTCTAACTCTTATATCGAGCTACCAACATCACTACCCTTCGACCAAAAAAGAAAAAAAACATCACTCCCCACAAAACGCGAAAATCCCTCGAAAGATTGAATCGAACTTTCGGCACGGAATCTGCGCAACCCGATGGGAGTTCAGAGAGAATTCACATCAGATCTCGCGGCGAGACGCCGTGTGGGATATGTTGAATCTTGAAACTACTACTGTAGGATGATTGCATGATGAATCAAGAGAGGCCCACATGGAACCCTATCTGGGACCTTTTGCACCGGAAACTGGTTCAACCTCAATTACTTTTGCATGTTAGGGTTTGGGGAAAAGGGGCTTGTGAGGCATTTAAGAGGTCACAAGGATGGTTGGCGACTTTGATTTCCTGATTCATAGGCACCCCACATTTAATGCTTTAAAAAAGTGGTGGCTTACTTACTTCACGCATTGATTTGTTTGTTTATTAATTTAATGCGAAGCTGGCTTTCTTTGAAGTTAAAATTCAAGATTCTCGATTGCTATTTGACTCGTGGGAGTGCTCCTGTTTCACATGACTACTAGTATCTCTCTTTTGGATTATCCTCCATCAAGGCATTATCAAATAATTCAAGTAGAACATAGGAAATGAGTTATCTTCTGACTAATTATACAAATAACGATGATGAGAATGTCGATTTTTAAAGTGGGATAATTGGCGACGTTCTGAATTCTATATCAAATGAGAGAGGTTCTGTTAGAGTGATTCATAAGTCTAAGACCCATCCCTTACAATACTTCTTTTGGAAGCTTGGACTCTGTAAAACGGGTCGGGTTGTAGGAGCCGCGGTCAGTAAATTTCATGCTCTTTGACTGAATTGTAGAGTTATTTTTTTGGGGGGTCTTTTATGGGTGTTGGCATGAGGTTTAAATAGCTCATTTAGTATATACACAGCCCAAAAAATAAGTCAATTAAGAGCACGAGACATCCAATGAAAATCAATGCTTGGAGCCCTCGACATCGATTTTCACGTTTGTACCATTTTTTGGCTCGTACAAATAGCGGCAAGTCGAACTACGTTATGCTTGGCGTGTTCGTCAAAATCATGTTTTGTCTTCTTTTATTATTATTATTATTATTATACTTCAATTATTTTGTCACAAAATGTCTTGCTTGTTACCATCAAACTCATAGTTGATCGTGAAAATGGCATTCTGCCTAGTGCCTACCATGCTCAGCTGTGTCCACATGGTAGTGTGGAAACCATTCATCGGTCAAATAAAATGTACCCTTTTTAAAGCTATCTATACCCTTTTCATGTTATCTGACCAACTTAACATCCGATCTCATGATTTGATTCAATATTTACAATTGGTCTTGTCCCAATCTCTCAATAAAATTAATCTCATCATCTCTCCTCTACATATCATAATTGTGCTAATTTTAAAATGAAATCAGTTAACTTATCTCGTGTTGTCCGTCCGAACAAGTAGAAATTAGAAATATGTCTTTCTCGTAAGTAAAGCTTTGCTTTGAAGCTGAAAATCATTTTCTGTTTTCGCGATCATGAGTTCACTGATATGGTGAATATATAACGCTATTAATTTAGAGTCATTAGGGAAATTGTTTATTCATTCACTTTTCTAAGCTTTGAGCGATATCGACGGAAGTCCAAATCTGCTTATAGATTTATCGAATTTAAATTGGTATTTGTTCATGAAAAAAATCCAGGGCATTGTTTATGAGCAATATTAATAACTTTCTTCATGGCCAAACAAAAAAAATCGGTCTCGATCTTTCCCTTTTTTTTTTCTTTCCTTTTCTTTTTTCTGATCTTTTCTATTTTAATCTTTATGGTTCTAAAATTGGAAAGAACGAATAAACTGCAATCATGATTCGACAGGAAGTATTTCAAAATTTCTCGTTAGGGCTCTGAGTTACCTTAATGAAATCATCTTGAATTTTTAACAAGATGAGTAATTGCTTATGAGGTGTTCCAATAAAGAGCATAACCTCATCAAATCCAAACAAGAGAATCTCTTGCCACTACTTAATTTGATTATTATTGGGCTATATTGACCGAGGACATCTCCAAGAATATTCTCTTCATTGTCCTTTGATATGCCAGGCTCTATCGTGGAACACGAAAAGAAGATAAAAAGGTAATTTGTTGGCTTAATTAGAAGGGCGAAAGTCATCAAAAAAATCTTGAACTATGTCATTGTGACATATTTATTCAAAAAAAAATTTCCGTGGCTCCAAAATCCCAAACTTGTACCTAGTGATATATAGGATTTACTCCTAGGTAGTTGGCGGACCCCTGGTCACAGGTTCGAATCCCTCCGCCGCTCCTCTAGCCTCTGGAAGCCTCGGTTCATCTATGATGTAGATTTGGCCATGCCATGTCATCAAATAACTTCGGTCATACTCCCATTAACATTATGGCTCAAAATTGAGCAATAATTGTGACTCGAACTGAATATTCCGTCGCGAAAAAACCCGATCAAAAAAAAAAAAAAGGAATTCCAAACCCCACAGCAACCAATTCAAACAGTCGTTTTAGGAACCCCCCCTGCCCTGTCCTGTATATATAAACAACAAGACCACTCCCCATTCCTCTCGTGCATCACTCTCCTCTGTCCCTTTTCCTCTCCGCCATTTTCTCTCTCTCTCGAGATCTCATTCTCTCGCTCGATTTTCCCTCTCGCTTTCCCGGGAAAATCCGGCGAGAATCCCCCCCGCCCGTCGTTCGATTCCGGCGCGCGCGCGCGCCCCGGCGGCGATGGCCAGCGAATGGATACTGATGGTGACCGCGCAGACGCCGACCAACATCGCGGTGATCAAGTACTGGGGGAAGCGGGACGAGTCCCTCATCTTGCCCGTGAACGACAGCATCAGCGTGACCTTGGATCCCGACCACCTCTGCACCACCACCACCGTCGCCGTCAGCCCCGGCTTCGAGCGCGACCGCATGTGGCTCAACGGCAAGGTACGATTCCGTCGTTGCTCGTGGGGGGTTTCGTTCGGGGTGTTTGGCCGGCTGAGGCCGCGCGGGCGAAGGGGAGCTGGGATTCGCGTCGGTCGAAGACGGCATGCTTGATGGAACGGGCGCGGTCGGTAAGATACGAGCGTCGCCCGGGATTTAAAGCTAGCGGGAGGAGCGATTGACGAGGAAAAGAGACGTGCTTGATTTAGCTGAGATTGAACTGAGCCGTTGCGGAATGAATTGTGTTAGATTTGATAGGTTGGGATTGTTCGTGCGCAATAAATAGCTGGGAAAACCATATTTGTCGCTTAGCTGAGCGCGTTGTTCTTGATGTTAATACGGCACTGCCATTCTTTTCATCTCCTGTTTACTGATCTCTTACATGCTGCTTCTGCTTTTCCATGTATGGCACATGAATAATTTTTTTTCTGGGTATTACAGGAGATATCTC